TGTAACATAACATGCGTAAGGCCCTAGGTATGAACTAACTTTTTTACACCACTTTAAAAAAAAGATAAACATAGTCAAAAATAAGCAAGACAATGAATGTAGCTATAGTTTTATGAAGTTTCCACACACCCCTTTACTCACTTCCTCCCATTTTTACTTGTCTTCCCTACTTGTTCCTACAGTTACTCTAAATTAGTTTGCATTGTGCAGAATTTTATATAAATGGAATTGTATAGTACAGTCTTTGTATTTCTTTTAGAGTCTTTATGTTTTAGCCTCTTTATTTAGAAATGAATCTTTATTTTGGTATTTATGTCAGTTCGTTGTTTTTTCTTGCTGAATAGTGCTCCATTATATGGGTGTACCATGGTTTTTCTGTTCACCTGTTGACTCCGGGGTGCGCTGAGAGGCAGTTGAGACTGAATGTGGTAGCATGTGCCTGTAATCCCAGCCCTTGGGAGGCTGAAAAAAAGGAAGGATCACTATGAGTCTGAGCTGTGTAGTGAGACCCTGTAGACCCTGTACTAAATACATAAAAATATATATATTCTTGCTTTTCTCTTGGATAAATAAATACCTAGAAGTAGGATGGCTGGATGATACAATAGTGGTATATTTAACTTTTTAAGAAATAAGTCTCAGTGTGGTGGTGCATGCCTGTAATCACAGCACTTGGGAGGCTGAGGCAGGAGGATCATCGTGAGTTTGAAACCAGCGTGAGACCCTGTGTCAAAAAGAAATTTTTTTTTTTTTTAAATGTATTTGGTTTTCGCAGAGTCTCACTACACAGCTCGGACTCATAGTGATCATCCTGCTTTCAGCCTCCCCAGCACTGAGATTACCGGTATGCACCACTATGCCCAGTCTTGGTGGCTGGCTCAGCCTTCCCTGGGAAGTGGGGCTGGCATGCCAGGGATCAAACTGCAGTCCCTGTTCTTGCTTGCCTAAGCTTATCTAAGCAGGTGCTTTAGTCTGCTGAGCTATTTCCCCAGCCCCTAATTTTTTTTTAAATAGGATTTTGTATTATCGACATTGATAAGGTCCAGTCCCTTCATATGTTTGCCAGCACTATTCTATATGTCTTAATTTCAGCTACTGTAATGTACTTGTTATAATTCATATTTTCTTGATGTCTAGTAATGCTGAGTATCTTTCCTTATGCTTATTTGCCTTTGTGTGACTTTGATGCAGTTTCTATTCGAATATCTTTCCTGTTTTTGAATTGTGTTTGCTTTCTTACTCAACTTTTGAAAGTTTTTTATATTCCGAGTATAATTTTTTGACTGCTTTAACAATGCTGGGGATAAAAGGCAGGGCCTCGCATTCTAGGCAAGTTGCTCCACCACCGAGCTACATTCCCAGCCTGTGCACATCAGTATTTTATCGTATGTCTGATTTGCGAAGATTATTTTTCCCCCAGCTTGAGATTTGTTTTCACTCTCTTAATTTTATTTTTTTTCAACTTACGAAAAGGAAAGGTTTATTTTGGCTTGTATTATTCTTTTAACATTTTCACTGAAGGAGTAGGAATGTAGTCTTGGTTATATTTAAGTCCACATACTAACTTTTTTTCTGTAGAACTTTTTTGGTGGGTACTTTCAAATACTTTGCCCAAGGTCACAAATACCTTGCCTTAAGGTCACAAACATTTTTGTTCATTCTCTGTTCTGTTGTCTTTTTTGTCTTTCCAGTATTAGAGATTAAACTCAGGGCTTTCACACTGAGCCATATCATTAGTCCTTTTTATAATTTTGAGGGCCATGTCTTACAAAGTAGCTTGGGTGGGACCTGAACTCATCATTTTCCTTCCTTAGAATTAAAGACATATGCAACAGTGCCCAATTTTCTGAAAGTTTCATAGTTTTGGGGTCTTTAGGCAAAAAACCCATCTTGCATTTACTTTGTAAGTGTGGTATAAAGTGAGAATTTTTTTTAATATATATTTTGCATGCAGGTCTTTACTTGTTCTAGCACCATTTGTTGAAAAAAAAGACTGACTGAGTTGCTAGAAATTGGTTGTCTAAGTTGTTTGGGCTTCTTTCTTTCTTTCTTTTTTTATTTTTTTCATTTTTGAGACAGGGTCTCCCTGTGCTGTTCAAGATGGCCTTGAGCTCACTTTGTAGCCCAGGCTGGTCTTGAACTAGCAGTGATCCACCTGCCCAGGCTGGTCTTGAACTCAGTGATCCTCCTGAGTGCTGGGATTACAGGTGTGCACCACTATGCCCGTTTTAGGCCTATTTTTGAACTCGACATTTTGTGTCAGCAATCTGTTTGTCTGTTCTGGTGCCAATAAGCACTGTGTTTTCATTTTCTTGACTTTATTTCTCCAACCTTTGTTCTTCATTTTCAAAAGTGAAATTAAGGGCCAACCAAATAGCTCAGCAGATTAAAGTGCCTGCAAGCAGGTGGGGGGGGGGCGGGGTTTGATCCCCTGGCCTGCTGTGCTGGCCCTGCCCCTAGGGCACGCTGAGACCACTGTTGAGACTGGGAGTGGTGGCACATCTCTATAATCCCAGCTCTTGGGAGGCTGTGAACAGGTGGATCACTATGAATCCAATCTAGTAGTGAGACCCTGAAAACCCTGTAGACCCTTCCCTAAAATAAAAAAATAAAAATAAAAAACTTTTATTAGGGCCGGGGAGATAGCCCAGTAGAATAAGCACTTGCCTGACAAGTGCAAGGTCCTGAGTTAAATCCCCAGTACCACAAAAAAAAAAAAAAAAGCAAAACCAAAAAGTGAAATTAATGTGTTTCTCTTTTCTTCATTTTATTCTTTATTTTGCAGTACTAAGTGCTTTATATTTCCCTGTGTATTTGAGATTAGCTAATTTTCTAAATAAAACAAAAGTATGCTGAGATATTTGACTGGGATTATGTTGAATCTGTGTATCAGTCTAGGAAAACTTGACAGTGCAGTGCCCTGACCTATGAACAAAATGTGTTTCTCCATTTACTTAGGACTTTCTTGAGTTTCTTTCACCTACGTTTTGTAGTTTTCAGTGTATAAGTCTTACACATCTTTTGTCCATTTTGTCAGATTTGTCCCTAAATATATTTTCTGCTTTTACCTTTCTTTTTTTGTGTGTGTGGCCTCAAATTTGTGATCTCCCTGCATCAGCTTCTTGAGCTGTTGGTATTACAGGTATATGCTCCCATTCCTGGCAGCTACTTTTGAAGCTCTTCTAAAGTGAGATTTTTATTTTGTAGCTAATGTAGGCAAATACAGTGAGTTTCATATGTTAAGCTTGTATCTTGCATCCTACTCTTGTTGTTTTGTTTTGTAGTTGGTTTGAGACAGGATCTTACTATGCAGTTCAGGCTAGTTTTGTACTCACTGTGTGACACAGACTGGCTTTGAATTCACAGTGATCCTTCTGCCTCAGCCTCCCAAGTGCTGAGATTACAGTTCTACAGGTGTGTGCCACCATACCTGGCTTTGTAACCTTGTATCTTTATGTTTTATTCTATGTTTTTTGCAGTACAGGGGATTGAACTCAGGCCTTTGTGCTTGCCAGGCAAGCACTTATTCAACTGAGCTATCTCCCCAGCCCATTAACCTTGTTAAACTCACGTTAGTAGTTTTTGTTTTGTTTCTATGAATTTCACTGATTTTTTTTTCATTTAGAGAATTTTGTCCACAAATCTGGATGCTTTTTTCCCCCCTTTTCATGCCTTGCAATGTCTTACATGGTGTGAATATATGTGATAAGACAGTCTTGTTTGCAGTCCTAGGGGTCAAGTAGTTTTTTTCCTTGCAAAAACCGTCGGCTCACCCAAGGGCCAGTGGAAATTTATTGATTTTTTTGTTGTTGTCCTTTTTTATATTTCCCGAAGTGGCTTTTCCTTGCAAAATGCCTGACATGATGCCAGAGGGGAACAAACCTGGGAGTGAAGGCTCCAAAGGAGTGGCCCAGGGACTTAAGTACAAACTGGAAGGGAGGCAGAGTGCGGATGGGACAAGCGAGACAGCACAAGGGACATGGCTTCTTAGGTAGAGACCAAGTTTGTTTTCTGCAGGAAGAAGCTGTGCCAGAGGGCAGATGGCCAGGATCCCTGGCTGAGCAGGGGGTGAGCAGAACAGCCCCCAACCCTGGGGTGCACCCATATTCCCCAGAGAAGGGGCAGGGATGAGGCTCTGCCCGCTTCGGCTCTAAGCAATAGGAGGAAAAATAAACCAGATGTGCTGCCTCAACAAAAGGGGGGTGCTGGCAGAATGAGGGTTAAGGCTGGTGCCTGTCCTCTGGCATGGTGGGCCTTCCGCCTCCACAGAGGGCCACGGTGGGCAGGCAGCACATGGGCCTGGCTCTGGCAGGGCAAGGGGTGGCAGGAGCAGGCTCCCTCTGGGCTCAAGACACAGGCCGAGTGCAGCCTCCCGCCCACCTGCCCTAGCTGCGCTCAGACCCTACTGCAGCTGGACGACCTGAGCTGTGAATGTAGGAGTGGGGGGGGGAGGCAAGGGAAAGGGTGGGTTGCTGGGCTCCTGTACCCCATACCAGTCCTGAGGTCCAGCCCAGGGCCCTAGATCCGATCCCAGGCCTTAGTTGCCCTGACTACAGTCCTGACCCGAGGTGCTGACTGCAGCTGGGGATAGCAGAAGCCAGGGAGGCCTCAGCTCTTGGGAAGGGGTAGAGAAAGAAAAGAAACCCAGTACAGCATACATGGGGAAGGGGAGACAAGAGGAGTCCTTGTTCCAAAGGAAGGCACACATAGGGGCTGAGGAGATAGCTCAGTAGAATAAGTGCTTGCCTGGTAAGCGCAAGGGCCTGAGTTCAATTCCCTGTTCTGCAAAAAAAAAAGGAAGGCACACAGTGGGGCATCTTTCCAAGGTACCTAGAGGCAGCAATAAGAGCAGCCCCCATCCTTGCCCTTGCCACAGGTCCTCCCTTGGGGACCCTGACAAAGCCAGGGCTCAGAACAGCAGGCAGATAGGCCAGAGGGAGATGGGGAACCCAGGACACCTCAAAGCCACAGACTCAAATGCCCAGGAGAGGAAGGAGGCATCATCTGGAGAAGGTGTCCTCTCCTGTTCCATCCTAAGTGCCCCTCCTAGCAACAGCCACCACCAGCTGGCTTCACAGGGGTGCTGTCAATCTTGAGGTTGGGCCGTTCTCCTCCTGAGGCTGCCCCAGTCCCCATCCGCTTTTTGATCTCAGCAGCCATAGTCATGAAAGCTTGTTCGACATTGGTGGCATTCTTGGCACTTGTCTCTAGGAAGGGGATGCCCAGAGAGTCTGCAAACTCCTTGGCTGTGGTGTTTTTCACTACCTTCTTGGTGGTGAGGTCACTCTTGTTGCCCACCAGGAGCTTATTGACATTCTCACTGGCATAGCGGTCTATCTCCTGCAGCCACTGCTTCACGTTGGCATAGGATTCCTGGTCGGTGCCATCATACACCACGATGATGCCATGAGCACCCCGGTAGTAGCTGAAAGTGATGGTCCGAAACCGTTCCTGACTAGCTGTGTCCCATATCTGAAGTTTGATGGTTTTGCCATCCAGCTCAGTGGTTCAGATCTTGAAGTCCACCCCAATGGTGCTGATGTGGCTCTCTGTATATGTGTCATCAGCAAACCGCAGAAGCAAGCATGACTTGACCACACCCGAGCCACCAATCAAAAGCAGCTTAAATAGGTAGTCATATTCGGGGTTCAGGGTGGCGGCGGAGGCCCACTTGGTCGCTCCCAGTCAGCTGTGCTCCGCCCAAGTAGTTTTTTATGATGCAGTCTAATGTTAACTTGAAGGTTTTTTCTTTATCTTTTTTTTTGCAGAGCCGGGGATTGAACTCAGGCCCTTGTGCTTGCCAGGGAAGCGCTTATTCTATGGAGCCATTTCCCTGGCCCTAACTTGGAAGTTTTTATAGCTAGATACACTTACAGGTTGAGAAATTTTTATTTTGTTTCTACTTTGCTAAGACTCATCGGGAGTGGATGTTGGAATTGTAAAGTAGCTGTTTCTATTGGGTTGAACAGTGTTTTGTTTTTTGTTTGTGTGATGGATTATATGCACTGACCTTATTTTTGCAGTGTTGATATCTACCTTGTGCATGCTAGGCAAGCTGTTTACCACACTGAGCTGTTTCCCTGTCCTTTAACTGAGTTGTTTTTTTTTGCTCCGAATGCCTTCAGGGCAGGATTGGCTGGCTTGAGTTGTGGGGATCGAACCACAGCAACCTGAGCCTGACTGCTTTGTTGAAGCAGCCACTTAAAGAACTGAGCTAAGGGGCAGGCCCCCCCTTTAACTGAGTTTTAAAAGTCAACTTTATTTCCTAGTATTAGGCTGACATTGATGTATTGTCTTTTTTATGTACTGGTGGGTTTGAATTGCTAAAGCTTCATGGTTTTTTAAATGTTCATGAGGGGTATTGGTCTGTATTTTTGTTTTCTTGTAATGTTTTTATTTTAATACCAGTTAATGCAGGCATCATAACATAAGTGGGCAGTTTTTCTAATCTTTTTTCAATTTTCTGTAAGTGTTCACATGGAACTGTTATTAGTGCCTATTAATTTTCAAATACTTTGTTTCAATGTTTATATTTTTTATCAAATGTATTCCCTGTATTATCCTCTCCATCTTATTCCTTTTGTGTGTGTGTGTGTGCGCGTGCACGTGTGCAGTACCCGGGATTGAACTCGGGACAATGCACTTGCCAGGCAAGTGCTTATCTTTTGAATTTTTGTTTTGTTTTTGAGACAGGCTAGCACTTTGTAGTCCAGGCTTGCATTAAACTCACTACGCCGCCCAAGCTGGTCTTGAACTCTTAGCAATCCTGCTTCATCCTCTTTTTTTTTTTTTTTTTTAACTGTATTTTTTTAGTTGAATTGTTTTTGAGGGTAGAGGTTTTGTGTTGTTGTTGTTCATTTTTGTTTTTGTTTTTGGTGCCAAGGACTGAACCCAGGCCTTTCAGCTTCCTAGGCAAGCATTCTACTGCTGAAGCAAATCCCCAGCCCCCTGCTCCAGCCTTTTTAAATACTAGGTTTACAGATATGTGCCACTGTATAGGGCCTATTTCTTTCCCCTTGGCTAATAATAGTTTTCCTTCTATTTTCATGTCATCTTTTTTAGATTCCACTTAATAGAACATGCAGATTTGTCTTTCTGAATCTGGCTTATTGTGCCCTACATGGTGATCTCTAGGTCTATTTTCTTGCAAATGACCAAACTTTGTTTTCTTTGCAGCTGAATAATACATACCATCTCTTCTTTTCTTTTTTAACTGTGAATTGAACTCAGGACCTTGTGCTTGCCAGGCAGGCACTTGTGCTGCTGAGCTGTCTTCCCCGGCCCATACCACATTTTTCTTATCCATTCATTCATCTGTTGATGGGTACCTAGATCTTGGATATTGGTTCCAGATCTTGGATATTGTGAATGGTGCCCCTCCGCCACAGTGAGTATGTAGGTATCCCTGTGTAGTATGCTAACTTTAATTTCTTTAGGTATCTACCAAGGAATGATATAGCTGAATTGATTTAGTTTCTTGAGGACCATCCACCCTAATTTCTATTTTATAGTATTGTTTTTTGTATTCCTCATAGTCATTCTGTCAAGGTTTAGAAGGAATCTCAGTGTGGCTTTTCATTTCACTAATGGCTAAAGGTGTTGCACATTTTGTCATATACTTGTTGGCCTTTTGTACTTCTTTTGAGAAGAGTCTGTTCAATTCAATTCATTTGCCCCTTTACAGATTGGACTGTTTGGTTGGGGAGCGGTTATTTGAGTTCTTCGTATATTCTAACCTTTACTTTTTCTTTTATGCTGCTGGGAACTGAGTAAGGTTTTTATATACTCTATAAAAATTAACCTTCTGTTAGAAGTATAGCTGGTAAAGGTTTTCTTCCTTTCTATAGGCTATTTGTTTTTGTTGTTTGCCTTACTGTTCAGAAACTTCTTTTTGGTACCAGAAATCAAACTCACGATTTTGGCTGGTTAGGCAGATGCTGTGCTGCTGAAGTATATCCCTGTCCACAAAAATGTTTTAATTTGATGTAGTCCCATATTTTGATTCTTGCTGTTATTTCCTTTGCTACTGGAATCTTATCCCAGAAGTCTTTGCCTGTGTCTGTGGCTTCAAGTGTTCCTTCTATATTTTCTTCTATCATCTTCAAAGTTTCCTTCGTAGGCCTTTGATCCATTTTGAATTGATTTTTATACAGAGTGAAAGATAAGAATCTTGTTTAAATCTTCTACAAGTGAATATCCATGTCTCCCAGAACCATTTGTTAAAGAGGTTTTCTTTTCTCCTTTGTATGTTTTTGGCTTCTTGTTCAGAGTCAGGTGACTGTAGTTGTGCAGGCTTGTCTGTGTTTTGTACCAGTACCATGCTGTTTTTTAACTAAAGCTTTATAGTATATTTTGAAGTAATTGGGTATTGTGATGCCTCCATCTTTGCTGCTTGCTTGCTCGGAATTGTACTCGGGCATAACGCCTGCCTGGCAGGTGCGAGGTCCTGACCAAAAGAGAAAAAGAATTGCTTGGCTATTCTGGATCCTTTATGTTTCCATATTAACTTTAGGATTATTTTCTAGTTCTATGAAGAATGTCATTGAAATTTTTATAGGGGTTGCATTGAATCTGTAGATCATTTTAGTAATGTAGCCATTTTAAACTATTGTATCAATTTGTGAACATGGGAAGTCTTTTCATCTTTTAGTGACATCTTCAGTTTCTTCTTAAATTTTAATTATAGAGGTGTTTATATACTGATTCCTAGGTATTTATTTTAGTTTGAATTAGAATGGGATTGGTTTCCTATTACAAATGGAACTGTTTTTCCTGTTTTCTCAGCTAGTCCATTGTTGGTGTATAGAAAAGCTGTTCACTTTTTTAGTGTTGATTTTATATCTACTACTTTGCTGAATTTGTTTATCAGCTTGAAAGTCACTTAGTGTACTCTTTAACTGGGGGACCATATGTCTGCAAATGAGAATAATTTGACTTACTATTATTTCTTTCTCTTTTGCCTAGTTCCTGTAGTTAAAGTTTCAAATATTTTATTGAATAGGGATGGTAACAGTGAGCTGCCTTGCCTTGTTCCTGGTTTTAGAGGAAGTGCTTTCAGTTTTTCCCCATTCGGAATGATGTTGACTGTTAGTCATATATGGCCTTTACCATATGGAGGTGTGCACTTTCAATATCTAGCTCTTCCTGGCCTTTTATCATGGATGAATATGGAATTCTGTTGAAGGCTCTTTCTGCATCATTTGAAATGGTCATGTGATTTTTATCCTTGCATATGCTTATGGGTTTACAACACTTATTGATTTATGTATGTTCCACCATATCTTTGTCCCTGGAGTAAAACTCAGTCATGGTGTATGATCATTTTAATGCAATTTTTTTGTTTGTTTGCTTTTTGTTTTTTATGGCGGAATTGGAGATTGAACTCAGGCCCTTGCGCTTGCCAGGGAAGTGCTTGCCCTATGCAATGTTGAAATTTGTTTATGAGACTCTATTTTGCATTACGTTTATCAAGGATATTGGTCTATAGATTTTTATCTAGGGGTAGGGGTCTTTCTTTGGCTTGGTATCAGGGTGATACTGACATTATAGAATGAGTTTGGAAGTATTCTTGCCCTTTATTTTATGGAAGGGTTTGAAGAACGTTGATGCTATTTCTTTTATAAAGGACTAGTAAAATTCAGCCTGTGACCCCATCTGGTCCTGGGCTTCATTTGTTCGGAGACTTTTTATTACTGCTGCTTAAAATCTGATTGCTTGCTATTAATCTATTTATATTCTTTGTATTCTCTTAATATAGTTTTGGCAGGTCATTTGGATATAGGAATTTATTTGGTTGGTTTTTTTTTTTTATATTTTCAAGTGCTTTAGAATGTAGGTATTCAAATAGTTCCTAATAGTCCTCTGGATTTCAGTGGTGTCTGTTGTAACATCCTCTTTTATGTCTAATTGAGTTGATTTGAGTCTTTTTTTTTAGTTTGGCTAAGAGTTTGGCTTTTTAAACAACCAACTCTATTTCATTGATTCATGTGTTGTTCTTTTAGTCCATTAATTTTAGCGCTGATCTTTATTAATTTTTTTTATTCAGTGGGGGTTGGTTTTGGTTTATTTTTGTTTTTCTAAGTCTTCGTTATTTATTTAGCGTATGGTCCACAGGGTCTCACTACACAGATGGACTCATAGTGATCCTCCTATTTTCAGCCTCCCAAGCGCTGGGATTATAGGTACATGCTACCATGCCCAGTCTCAATCAGCATCATCCCGGGGGCTGGGCTGGCAGGGCATACCTGGGATCAAATCCCACTCCCTGTCCATCTAAGCAGGCACTGCTGAGCTATCTGGCCTGCCTCCAAGTCTTTGTCATTTATATGAGATCTTTCTCAGTTTTTGATATAGGCACTCAAAGCTATAAACTTTCCTCTATTAACTGCCTTCACTGTATCTCAGAGTCTGGTACATTGTATTTCCATTTGATTCTAGTTGCACTACATCCCTAGCCTTATTTTAGCTTTTTTTTTTTTTTTTTACAAATACAAAATTTGCATTAAAAATACTGTAGACACAATTAGTGGGAGTATACCTGGCAAGGCAGGCTAGAATATTCTTAGTTTACACGGGTATTGAAAGAAACAATTTTCATGGAGCCCAGCCCCCCTTTGCTTTGCAGAAGTCATCACTGTGTGTAACATTTCAAGGGGAGATGAATTGCTTCTTTTCCTTAAGACATCTTGAGAAATCTCCTGGATAGGATCACCAAGAATATTACTGGGTTTCTGGGGGGTATTTGGGCTCCTAGAGATTCTGTCCAGGTACTTCTTGTCCCTGTGCATTGTATGCGAGCAGTATTTAACTTTTTTAAATTTTTACCGGGACTCACAACTGAGTTTGCCTTGAATCTCAGAGGAGACTTTGTGCTTGGACTTGTCATCACTATTGGAACTGTTGAGACTTTGATGACTCATAGCAGTGAATTAAATGTGTTTTACATAAAGTGATACACATGAATCTTTTGGTAGGCAGGAATGTTAGGGGTAGATCTAGATGTGCCCCAAAAGCTTCATGTACTTCTAGTTATGGTTTTTGAAAGATCATTGAGTTATTAAGGTGTTAGGAGGAAGGTGCTGGTTCAAAGCACTGGTAGTGTGACCTGGAAAGACAAACATCTTTTGCAGGCTCATCTCTTTCTCCTTCCTTCAGTATAATCTATATAACACAAAAAGCTTTCCTCTACCCAGGCTCCTCTGCCTGGAGTTTTCTGCCTTGGAGCCAGCCTTCCATGGTGTGTAACCATGAGACAAAGTAAACCTTTTCTTTTTTATATTTTAGTACAGGGACTACAGGATCTTACTACACAGATCGGACTCATAGTGATCCTCCTGTTTTCAGCCTCCCAAACACTGGGATTACAGGCATGCACCACCATGTCCAGTCTCAATCAGCAGTGCCCCAGGCGCAGGGCTGGCATGACATAGCACAGCGCGGCACGCTGGGGATCGAATCCGGGTCCCTATGTCTAAGCAGGCACTTTAGTCTGCTGAGCTATTTGGTCAGCCCAATAAACCTTTTCTTTAAGTTGAAGTGGGTAGGTATTGTGTCTGAGATATGAGAAAGCAACTAAGGTAAATGAAGCATAATTGTATGCATGTATCAAATGTATAATGATCCAATCAGTATAGTTAAAACTTTCATATCTTTAAATATTTATTGTTTTGTGTTGGGTTTCATAAGACTCATCTCTAGTTTTTCATAAAATATATAATAAATTGTTGTAAACTAAGCTCACCAAAAAATGCCATACAGTAAATTATTTTTTGTAACTGTATTTTGGTACCGATTGACTAGCCCTTTTCTGTCCCCTCTTCTCTATCCCCCCTAGATAATAGTAGACAGTATTTAACTCCATTTCAATGAAATCAACTTTTTAAAGCTTCCATATACAGACGAGAACATACCTGTTTTTCTTTGCCTGGCTAACTTCATTTACTGTAATGTCCTGTAGTTCCATCTGTGTTGCTAAAAAATTTCAAAATTTTACTCTTTTGTATCAATCAGTGTTTCATTGTTTCGTTTCTTAGTAATCCACTGATGGACAAACAACTTAGATGATTTTAAGTGATTCAATATGTTGATTTGTCTTTGGATATATTCTTGGTAGTGGGATAGCTGGCTTATATGGTATTTCTGTTTTCAGTTCTTAGAGGAATTTCTGTATTATTTTCTATAATGGCTACATTAATTTATATTCCAACCAATGACATACAAATATTTCCTCCTTTTAATTTTTATTGATTTTATTTCCTTTGGATATACTTGTGTCTTAGTTTTCTCTTGTTGCTGAGGCAAAGTACCCAACATCCAAAGTTAAAGGGACAGTCATAGTTTGTAGAGGTTTCAGCACATAATTGGCTGGCTCCAAGGTGGGGTAGTATGGCAGAGAGGTATTGCAGAGACAGTTTATGGCTTTGAGGCAGGGTCTCATTAAATTGCCCAAGCTGGACTTGAACTTGTGATTGTCTTGTTTCAGGTTTCCAGAGTACTGGGATTACAGGTGTGTGTCACTGTATTTGACCAGTTCTGAGAATTTTAGAATTTCTTCTCTGATTTTGTTAATGAGCCACCGATTGTTTACAACTGAATTATTCAGGGGCTGGGGATATAACTCAGTGGTATAAGTGCATGCCTGGCCAAGCACAAAGTCCCAAGTTCTGTTCCAACCACTGCCAAAAAAACAAAACAAAACAAAAAACAGTTGAGCTGAATTGTTCAGCACACGTGCCTATCTGGCAAGCACAAAGTCCTGAGTTCAATTCCTGCTATCAAAAAAAAAAAAATTTTTTTTTTTAATTATTCAGTCTTCATGTGTTTGTGTGGTTTCTGTAGTTTCTGTCTTGATTTCTAGTTTTACTCTATTATGATTTGGACAAAATGCAAGGACTTCTTTTTCTTTTCTCTTAGTACCTGGGATTGAACTCAGGACCTAGTGTTTGCTAGGCAGTCGTTTATGCCATTGAGCTCTCTTCTCTGATTTTTTTTTAATATATATATTTGTTGTTGTTGTTTTTTAAATTATTTATTTATTTGTGTGTGTGTGTATGTGTGTGTGGCCAGCTCAGCCCACCAGGGGGCAGGGCTGGCTGGCATGTGGTGCTGGGGAATTGAACCGCGGTCCCTCTGCTTTGTTAAGCTTGTTCTAAGTAGGTGCTTTAGACCACTGAGCCATCTCACCAGCCCTAATATATATATTTGTTAAGGCTTGTGTTATAGCCTAAAATGATCTATTTGGAAAACGTTTATAGTAATAAGAATGTATATTATATAATTGTTGGATGGATATTCTGTAGACATTTGTTACATCTGTTTGATCCATGATGTAGTTTTTTTTTTTTTTTTTTTTCCATGATGTAGTTTAATTCTTAGGTTTATTTACCTTTTGATGAAAGTGGATGTCAGACTTAGCCAGTAT